CTATGCTGCAGTTAGTTAGGACTTAGGGTTCGTGGGACCCAGTGTGAGGTTCTTTCTGGGGCAACGCCTTCACATGGTCTCCAGGCAGCTCCCTATGTTAGTCTCAGGGGCTACGATGGTTTAGGGGATCTCCTGTGACTAGAATTGTAGGTGTCTGTGGTGAAAATGTGGGCTGCTGGGAATCTCTCCCTTTCCTTTTCCCACATTGGAGAGCTGCTCGAGACTCACATCCGATCTTGGTTGAACAGGCTGTCTTATTTCCTTTTCCTTTGCTTTTGGTGCTTCCTGGTCACTTCTCTGCTGACTTCCAGTGTTCTCTCTTAGATGATCTATTCAAGGTGCGATTATTGACTGGTTATTTTGGATACTTTACGAGAAAGAGTCAAATACCAGATGTATCAAGTCAGCCATGTTGGAGCCTCTCCAGTTCCATTCAAGGGGCCTGTTCTGAGTTGGCAGTAGGCCTTTCCCCGTAAGCAAAATTTCTATAACATTGAAATTACTTAGGGAAAAAAGCTGTCAATACACTTTGATGGTTTTTCGTTTTGTTTTTTTCATGGCGTCTCACTCCCTCAGCCAGGCTGGAATACAGTGGCGGAATCTCTGCCTCCCAGGTTCAAGCGATTCTCCTGCCTCAGCCTCCTGAGTAGCTGGGATTACAGGCGTACACCACCAAGCCCAGCTAATTTATGTGTTTTTAATAGAGATGGAGTTTCACCACGTTGGCCAGGCTGGTCTGGAACTCATGACCTCAAGTCTGCCTCGGCCTCCCAAAGTGCTGGGATTAGAGGTGTGAGTCACTGCACCCAACCAGCTTGGAGGTATTTTGGGGAAAAAAAAAAAAGGAGTAACGATTTTTCCTAACTTATGAGATATTAGGCCCTACAATAACATCATATTAATTAAAATACGGCTTATTTAATGGAAAACATAGTTAGTGGAGAAGCAGACCATGTATTGAGGGGGACTTGGAATAGTATAAAGATTGCCTCACAAAACTATGAAGAAGGAAGGATTAGTCTATCTACATAGAGACAAGCAGAACCAAGACTAGTTGATTATCTCATAGGATATGTAAATATAACCTCTAGAAGACTAGAGTCCTAAATGACAAATGTAAAACTCTAAATCTAATTAACAGGACCAGTTACATAACCTTTACGGTTCAATGCAAGATAAAAAATGATAAAATTGAGGTGGGGGACATTTTGAGAAAATGGAAATTACATTGCAGTGATCCCTGAAACTAAAGAGCCTTAATTTGAATCCTAGTTTCACAATCCATTGCAAGGAAAAAGAAAATTTACTTAAATCCTTTGAGCCTCGGTTTTCTTGTAGTAAAGGAATAATTTTAATACTTTTACATTGGATTATTGTGAGAATTAAATGAACTAATATATGTGAAGAATGCAGAACAATAACTTATACATAATGAGCATGCAATAAATGTTATTTATAATGTATTTGCAGTATATAAAATAAGGAATTATTTGTATATGGAATGGCTCATACCTATAATCCCAACATTTAGGGAGGATGATATGGGAGGATTACTCGAGGCCAGGAATTAGAGGCTGCAGTGAGTTATGATTGCATCACTGCACTCCAGCCTGGATGACGGAGCAAGACTCTGACTCAAAACAAGAAAAAAAATTAAAGATTAAAAAAACAAAATTAAAAAATTAAAATAAGGTATTATTGTGATAAATATATGTAATACATTTTTGCCAAGCAACAAAAAAGGGAAACTCAATAGAAAGCTGGAAAAGATACATCACAGTTATAATTATTAGTAGAATCCTTGGATTGATGGAAAGTCACACACAGATACCCTGGTGTAAATCAGACAAAATTTTCTTACCTAAAAGATAGCAAAAAGTAAGGCTATACATTGGTAAGACCAAAATCCCTATCCCAGACAGATAAAAATGTGAGCTTTTGGACCCCAAAATTAATTATTTAAAATAATTTAGTGGTATTAGCAACAGTGAAGAGTCAGACGTAGAAGGTACAAAGGCAATACTATTTCTCTTTATTTCTCTTTCTTTGGTTTTCATAGAATCATAGTAGAATACTAAAGATAATCATCTTTCTGTACTGATCAATGGAATGTGGGTGACCACATTTATTAATTTTTGATGCCAATTTTCTTTCATTTTATATACCAAAATATCTTCCAAGGGAGCCCTCAAGAAGAGAAAGTGAATCTGAACCTCTACCTTAGGAAATGAAAGGAAATTTGACTAGGAAAAAATATTTTAAATAAACAAATAAATATTTTTAAAAAAAACAGTATTATGGAAGGTCAAATAAAATATTGGGTTGCTGTTTTAAAGAAAAAATCCAGCAAATATATTAAGTTATTGAAAACTGAATTACACAGAGAAATTCCATATGGCGATCCCCTCATGCTGCAGGTGCAGAGAGTCCTCCTGTTTATTCTCATGACAATCCTTCTCAGCACCCAGGGGACAGTTTCTCTCAGGTTTTTATGTCTAGAGATCTGCAGCTCATTGGAAGGCAGGCAGATTTTCAGAGAGGAAACAATTTTTGAAGATAATTTATGCTGCAATCCCAACATCAACCATCACTTCAAATATTTTTCTATTTATAATTACTGGGAGTGTAAATCTGAAAAGCTCTTTTACCTGTGATTCTGAACACACAATCAGGTGAGAGAATAGAATAGGAGACAGGCTGGGAAGCTGCTCGTATTTTTATCTGTTTATGAGTGACCTGACTGCTTGCGAGTATTAAAGTTAGATGCCCAGGGCTTTGAGCTGGTTTCCTATTTTTATGATGGAGTCTTCATTGTGGTTGTAGATTATGAAAGCATTTTGTTTTCCGCACTTGTATTGCCATGTCTCCTTCTCCATTCAACGTGCCTGGTTCTCTACATATTCGCTAAAGCAAATCTGAAATCCCTAAATATTGAAATTGCAGTAAAAGAAATATTTTCATACAGAGAAGTTGGCTAAACAACATTCTTTAAATGTAAGGAAAATGTTGTTTAATTATTTATTATTTTTTAAATTTTCTTTTTGCCAAATAGATTTTTGATACAATTTTATTTTATGGGTCAGAGAACCAAAAATACTATTTTAGCTATCATTTGTACTTTTAAAAGACATGGTAAAAGTTTTGAAAAATATGCAACATACATGGCTATCAAAGAAAGCTACTTTAGGTTGTTTGAAGGCAGTCCTTCATGGAGGTGTGGTAAAGGTTAGATAATTTCTCAAAATTTCCTCCAGCTGTAAAGCCAAATACCCTATGGGCTCCCTAGAAGTGTTTCCTAGTTCATTATTTTTTTTTAACTTTAGTCACACCAAATCATTTTGTTCTCTCATCAGTAATTTTTCAACCTTGAATTATTCCCCGTTTATAGGAAACACTCTAATATCTGCATCTTTCTTCTGACTTCCTAATAGTTCTTATTCTTTTCTAAGTGCCTCCCATTTCTAAGGATTTCCCACACATTCTTGCTTCTTTCCTCCTAATATGCAAAAGTTAATCCACTACGTTTGTACAAGAAAGGAACAAACAGGAAGCTATTTCACAAAATTATGTCTGCTTTTGTCAGTGCACCTATAGAAGATAATCCCAAGTACTTTGCAAATAATGTAAGAAAAAATCTTCAAAAGATATGTCTGCCTTTCAATAAACAGTATAAATTTAGTCAAATATTAAACCTCATTATAATTATCTTACTTTTAATCCCTTGTGTGTTTTAACAGTTACTAAAAAAATTCTATTATTTCAATTCTGCAAAAGAAAGAAAAATGAATACATTTCGTTCATAGAAAATGGAAATTTTATTAGATGGAAAGAAGGGGCAAATAGAGCAAACACATTTTACAAATGAAAAGGGCTAGAAATGTGTGGTAGCTTTGGAGAGAACTGATAGGAAGCCAACAGACCTCTGGGTTGATCAAGGAGAACCTGACTGTCAGTGCCACATTAATGAAACTAGAAGAAAAGAGAGAAAATTCACTTGGGATACAATGTTTCTTCACATCTAAAAAGTGAGTTATTTCAGGCAAAGTAAAAATAAGCCTTAAGAAAATGCATCACAAGACAGGCTTTTCAGTGGTCTAAATTCATAAATACTTTAGAAGAAGACACTATTGGATAAAATGAAGGAAGAATTGTTGAGTCTATTGGAAGAGCTTTTCTTATTCAGAGATTCAGAGGTGTGAAAAAGGAAAATGTCCCAGTGCAACTGGCAACTAGAGGAACAATAATGTTTGTCATGAAGTAAGTAAGTTGGGATTTACTTTGAAAAAAATTAAAGGCTTAGATAAGAAGAAACTAAGCACATTATCTGATATAGCAGTGATAAAACTTCAAATATACCTCAGGTTAATATTTGATTGATGTATTTTTTTTTTCCTATCCCAGTAGAGCTCCATGACATTGCCAGAGATGTGGGTTAGAAAGAGATCAGTAAGAGAACATCTCTAGCCTCATCTACGTTCTAAGATGAGAACAAAACAATTACTGCTATTTTAAAGAGGTTTTTATATCTCTTTAAAGACTTTGTGATTATAATGAGTTCATCTTTATCTTTCTCTCTTAAGTCAAAAAATTTCAGGTGCCATTTTCCTGGGTCAAGAGATAACCAACTGGTGGTGCACTTAAAAATTGCCCCCTATTAACACTGACTTGGGATAGGAAAGGAAAGTTGTGTTGGAATACAGATGTTCACAACCAGAGAAGATTGTAAGTTAGCAACATGTTCTAAATCCCCAGAAGAAAGAAATATGTTAATAAGAAATTTAATTTTAAAAAGTGGTTAAGTCATAGTCCATACTATGCATGAATCCTTAATATTGAAGAGACCAACAGCTAAGCTAAGTTCTGTACAACTTCTGAGGTTTGAAACAAGTACAACAGTACTCTCCTTCCAAGTAGCTTTGGCTTGGTGAGAAAGTTCTGAGCTGGAAGGATTCTGATTGCAATTAGTGTTCCATACATTATTTTGTCTTTTTTCTGAAGTGATGCTGAATACAACCTCAGTCACCGAATTTCTCCTCTTGGGAGTGACAGACATTCAAGAACTGCAACCTTTTCTCTTCGTGGTTTTCCTCACCATCTACTTCATCAGTGCGGCTGGGAATGGAGTCATTCTGATGATTGTCATCTCTGATCCTAGACTCCATTCCCCTATGTATTTCTTCCTGGGAAACCTGTCATGCCTGGATATCTGCTACTCTACGGTGACACTGCCAAAGATGCTGCAGAACTTCCTCTCTACACACAAAGCAATTTCTTTCTTGGGATGCATAAGCCAGCTCCATTTCTTCCACTTCCTGGGCAGCACAGAGGCCATGCTGTTGGCCGTGATGGCATTTGACCGCCTTGTGGCTATCTGCAAGCCACTTCGCTACACTGTCATCATGAACCCTCAGCTCTGTACCCAGATGGCCATCACAATCTGGACCATTGGTTTCTTCCATGCCCTGCTGCACTCCGTAATGACTTCTCGCTTGAACTTCTGTGGTTCCAACTGTATCCATCACTTCTTCTGTGATGTGAAGCCATTGCTAAAGCTGGCCTGTGGGAACACGGAGCTCAATCAGTGGTTGCTCAGTACTGTCACAGGGACAATTGCCATGGGCCCCTTCTTTCTGACACTTCTCTCCTATTTCTACATTATCACCTATCTCTCCTTCAAGACCCATTCTTGTAGCATGCTCCACAAAGCACTGTCCACGTGTGCCTCCCACTTCATGGTAGTTATTCTTTTGTATGCACCTGTTCTCTTCACCTATATTCATCCTGCCTCAGGGACCTCCATGGACCAGGACCGGATCATTGCCATCATGTACACTGTGGTCACTCCAGTACTAAACCCACTGATCTACACTTTGAGGAACAAGGAAGTGAAGGGGGCCTTGGTTAGAGTGATCAGAAGGCTTTGATTTGAATAAACCAGAGAACTCTTCAGAGGCATAAATAACCAGCAATGAAAATGTAGAGATGTGTAATTTTACTGCTTCTCAGATGATTTATAAGTGTAAAATAGAGGCAATCGGATAAAAGAAAAAAAAGTCCTATCTAGTTGTAGTAAACAATACATTTCTAAGTAACATGAGGAATACTTGAATATGCAAGACACTAGCCATGGAACCCTAATGCCAAAAATTTTTTGGAATTATCAGTTGATAAAATTGACTTGTTATGTATTCTAACATGTACTTGTATGCAGTTGCATATAGAATTATGCCTGTATTGTCCATGTATTGTATACATAGATCATATTTAGGACTGTTTGTCTGTAAGATCCTTTTAGTTTAACACATTTTAGTCTAATCAATAGAATGGTTATGCTTTTTTATTTTAAAGATTGCCATGTAGGGCTATGTTTATTCAATTGGAAAAATAAATGCTAACTTGCATATTATTTAAATAAATTTTAAAGAGGTATGTCATAATTTCTTTTTAGTTTGGCTGGTTTTTGTTCTTTTAATAGTGATTCAAAATACAAAAGACATAGAAAGGTGTCAAATGTTTCTCTCCCATCTCTGCCCTCCTGCCACTCACTTACTCTTCATATACAATCAATGTAACCAGTTGTTTATCTGTCCTCACAGAGATCCTTTATGCTACAGGGTCAAATACAAATATTTTCTTTAAAAAAGAATGGCAATGAACAATACATGTTATATGAACAAACCAATGTTGAGGACAATGTGTATCTTGGAGACCTTTCCCTATTAGTACATAGAGCTTCTTTATTTTTTTAACGTGCATGGTATGTGCCACTTTGTTCATGTATTATTCTTGATAGATCATTCTCTTGTCATTGGACGTCTATGTTATTTCCAATCACATGTTGCAGTGTATAATCTTGTATACACGTCATTCCATATATGTGCAAGTCTATTTGTAGGACAAATTTCCAGACATGGAAATGTTAGGTCAAGGGATATAGTTATTGTAATTCAGATAGATACTGCCAAATACACTGAATATGAATGATGCCAATGACTTATTTTGTAGATGCTTCCCTGAAAATATTCTACTTTTACAGCCTGGTTATGTAATAAATGACATCCTAAAGACACCTTCCATAACATGGAAGTCTGTATAATTTTCCCATTGTTATAGAAAGTTTTCAGACTATTTGAAGCCCAAGCAAGACAGCAACTGGGAGAAAGGAAAAACTAAGAATCCAGCAACTCTTGTCATTCTTAGCTGGTACGCATGCAACATGAAGTATTTTCCCTACTTCAGCATAAAATACTTTAAACTTTCCTGTTATTACGCCAACACTTACTCACGGTGAAAAATGAATCAAGTGTGTTGTTTATTATTTTAATCAAAAATAGCTCTACAGGTGTTAGATTTATGAAAGTCCTGCACAAAAGAACTTTACTAAATCAAGGCTGCCCTAAGAGACCCACCCTATAGCTAAAGAAAAAGAATCTCACACAGAGGACATGCTGCAGAGAGAATGAACTACTGAAACACACTGAAATGTTTCATTTTCTTTCTAACACACAAAGAATAGGAAAGAGTGGAAAACGGGAAGAAACTTTTACTAAAAGTTAACAGTTTTATTTTTACATTTTATAATACAAATGAAAAATGCTTTTTAAGTAATAAAATAAGTAATTAAAATAAGCAAATAAGCAATTAAACTGAATGACATTGCAATCACTAATTAAGAGATAAAACAACCGATAGTTCAGCTAAGAGTTCTGGTACCTATATCTTCAGAGATGTTTTAGAGGTGAACTGGCCAGACTTCAAGGATTACTACGAAATACCATTAAAAGTGGAGTTAGGTTGAAAAGAAAAGAAAACCCTCAACAATCACTTTGTATCTCATTAGAGTGTTATAACCATATCAATCCACCCTTGGTCATGAAAGATGATGACTTTAAACATGCTATTATTTTGGTTTCGTTTTCCTATATCTGTCCTTACTTTGACAGATTGTAATGCATGTAATATGATGTAATACAGGTGAAATACAAAAAAATTCGTGATTTTTTTTCTTTTCCTTTGGTACCAAACTCATACTAAGTGAAAACAATGAAATTATAATTGCGGAGGTATTTCTGGAGCTAATAGAAAAGAATAGGTATGATGTTTCTCAGATTCTAAGTACCTAGAAGTGGATTCTGGCCCAGAAAAGATGTGATATGCCAACATTTGTAACTGTTTAGAGATAAAAATAGATAACACTATGGAAACTATGTTGAGCGGGTGGGCTGACTGTTCAAAACCCTTGCCTTCACTTTTGCAAACGCAAATGATCTGACTTCTCTCTGGTACTTCTTTTTTTTTCTTTTTTTTTTTTTATTCTTTAAGTTCTAGGGTACATGTGCACAACGTGTAGGTTTGTTACATATGTATACATGTGCCATGTTGGTGTGCTGTACCCATCAACTAGTAATTTACATTAGGTATATCTCCTAATGCTATCCCTCCCCACAATAGGCCCCGGTGTGTGATGTTCCCCTTCCTGTGTCCCCGTGATCTCATTGTTCATTTCCCACCTATGAGTGAGAACATGCGGTGTTTGGTTTTCTGTTCTTGCAATAGTTTGCTGAGAATGATGGTTTCCAGCTGCATCCATGTCCCTAAAAAGGACACAAACTCATCCTTTTTTATGGCTGCATAGTATTCCATGGGGTATATGTGCCACATTTTCTTAATCCAGTCTGTCACTGATGGACATTTGGGTTGATTCCAAGTCTTTGCTATTGTGAATAGTGCCGCAGTAAACATACGTGTGCATGTGTCTTTATAGCAGCATGACTTATAATCCTTTGCGTATATACCCAGTAATGGGATGGCTGGGTCAAATGGTATTTCTAGTTCTAGATCCTTGAAGAATCGCCACACTGATTTCCACAATGGTTGAACTAGTTTACAGTCCCACCAACAGTGTAAAAGTGTTCCTATTTCTCCACATCCTCTCCAGCACCTGTTGTTTCCTGACTTTTTAATGATTGTCATTCTAACTGGTGTGAGATGGAATCTCATTGTGGATTTGATTTGCATTTCTCTGATGGCGAGTGGTGATGAGCATTTTTTCATATATCTGTTGGCTGTATGAATGTCTTCTTTTGAGAAATGTCTGTTCATATCCTTGGCCCACTTTTTGATGGGGTTGTTTGTTTTTTCTGTAAATTTGTTTGAGTTCTTTGTAGGTTCTGGATATTAGCCCTTTGCCAGATGAGTACATTGCAAAAATTTTCTCCCATTCTGTAGGTTGTCTGTTCACACTGATGGCAGTTTCTTTTGCTGTGCAGAAGCTCTTTAGCTTAATTAGATCCCATTTGTCAATTTTGGCTTTTGTTGCCTTTGCTTTTGGTGTTTTAGGCATGAAGTCCTTGCCCGTGCCTATGTCCTGAATGGTATTACCTGGGTTTTCTTCTCGGGTTTTTACGGTTTTAGGTGTAATATTTAAGACTCTAATCCATCTTCAATTAATTTTCATATAAGGAGTAAGGAAAGGATCCAGTTTCAGCTTTCTACTTATGGCTAGCCAATTTTCCCAACACCATTTATTAAATAGGGGATCCTTTCACCATTTCTTGTTTTTGTCAGGTTTCTCAAAGATCAGATGGCTGTAGATGTGTGGTATTATTTCTGAGGGCTCTGTTCTGTTCCATTGGTCTATATCTCTGTTTTGGTACCAGTAACATGCTGCTTTGGTTTCTGTAGCCTTGTAGTGTGGTTTGAAGTCAGGTAGCATGATGCCTCCAGCTTTGTTCTTTTGGCTTAGGATTGTCTTGGCAATGCGGGCTCTTTTTTGATTCCATATGAACTTTAAAGCAGTTTTTTCCAATTCTGTGGAGAAAGTCATTGGTAGCTTAATGGGGATGACATTGAATCTATAAATTACCTTGGGCAGTATGGCCATTTTCACAATATTGATTCTTCCTATCCATGAGCATGGTATGTTCTTCCATTTGTTTGTTTCACTAAGCAGTGGTTTGTAGCTCTCCTTGAAGAGGTCCTTTAGATCCCTCATAAGCTGGATTCCTAGGTATTTTATTCTCTTTGTAGCTATTGTGAACGGGAGTTCATTCATGAGTTGGCTCTCTGTTTGTCTGTTACTGGTGTATAAGAATGCTTGTGATTTTTGCACGTTGATTTTGTATCCTGAGACTTTGCTGAAGTTGCTTATCAGCTTAAAGAGATTTTGGGCTGAGACGATGGGGTTTTCTAAATATACAATCATGTCATCTGCAAACAGGGACAATTTGACTTCTTCTTTTCCTAACTGAATACCCTTTATTTCTCTCTCTTGTGTGATTGCCCTAGTCAGAACTTCCAACACTATGTTGAATAGGAGTGGTGAGACAGGGCATCCCTGTCCTGTGCCAGCTATCAAAGGGAATGCTTCCAGTTTTTGCCCATTCAGTATGATATTGGCTGTGGGTTTGTCATAAATAACTCTTATTATTTTGAGATACGTTCCATCAATAGTGAATTTATTGAGAGTTTTTAGCATGAAGGGCTATTGAATTTTGTCAAAGGCCTTTTCTTTATCTATTGAGATAATCATGTGGTTTTTGTCTTTGGTTCTGTTTATATGCTGGATTACATTTATTGATTTGCATATGTTCAACCAGCCTTGCATCCCATGGATGAAGCCCACTTGATCATGGTGGGTAAACTTTCTGATGTGCCACTGGATTCGGTTTGCCAGTATTTTATTGAGGATTTTTGCGTCGATGTTCATCAGGGATATTGGTCTAAAATTCTCTTTTCTTGTTGTGTTTCTGCCAGGCTTTGGTATCAGGATGATGTTGGCCTTGTAAAATGATTTAGGGAGGATTTCCTTTCTCTACTGATTGGAATAGTTTCAGAAGGAATGCTACCAACTCCTCCTTGTTTCTCTGGTAGAAGTCGGCTGTGAATCCGTCTGGTCCTGGACTTTTTTTGGCTGGTAGGCTCT